AATGACACTGGATCTATTTAAAAAATGGCTTTAATTTACAAAATTGCAACATGCAATCTTGAGAATCATATCAACGTAAAGTACACTGAGGTCAAAGAAGCTGCCTTCCAAGACAGGATTGCTCCTCATGCAGGCACATCAAAACTCATTTTATAGTAATTAGTTCAGGTATTGATAACTGTAGGTGCACCAGCAAGAGGCTCATTTTAGCATCCAGTTGGATGTGTACTTTACAGCCAACTAGTACCGAATTATACCTTCCTAAGGCCACACTGCTAAAAGTCCATAAGCCAGCTGTTTTGCAGCTATGTTTTTACCTTTCCATGTGCTATAGTCACACTTTCAACTGCTAAGCAGGCATTCTCAGAATGAAACTCACTGCTAGCACAAGAGATGCTGCAAATGATGATGGCAGGCATCTAGCTCCAAAAACGTCTGTTACTTCAGGTGTCAACCTAATAATAAATTTTCAAAAGTGCGTTATGTACTGGGCACTTACTGTAGGAAACAAAAGCTCACAGACAGTGAACACATCACCCTGAAAAGTTCCAAGTTGGGCATCTACAAACTGAGGAACTCAAAATTGGCTGGTACTAGAAGATACTGGCTAAATTTGCTGCCTTTCACATCAACAGGGAAAATGCTATCTCATTTGCTTGAAATATTTTCCTTTTACTGAAGGCTTACCGTGTTGCAGGTCTGTACACAGCTAAATACTTATCTGTCACTACAAATACACATATTGTTCCAACTACAGTGTGATGAAAAACACTATTTTTTGGAGCCACCTGGTCCTCAGAGGTCTCTGCTGGGTTCTTACCTCCAGCAGCAGAACCAGCCCTTAGGGTCCCAGCCAACGGAAAGACTGTTAAAGTCATGAACAGTCTTTCCTTGGAGTTCAGTGGATATACTGGGTCCTCAACATACAGTCCTTACCACTCAATGGTTGTGCTGAGACCAAGACAGGTATAAAAAGGAAAATGCTGCTTTGCCATTCTTTCACAGTGTCTTCCTGAAAATAAGGGGAATTACTATAGAGGGTATGAGAGAGTTATTTACCATTGCCTGTTGTCAACTGCTACCCAGACCAAGCTTAAACATACTGGGTAGTGTGAAACTACAGATACTGCTGGTTCAACGAAGAGATCTTAAAAACACTTTTCTTTTCTTCAGCCTGACATGCCAGGTATCATTTGGGCAACACTGGCCTGCGTGCACAAGGCAGACTAGCACATCATAAAATTTTAGGTTAACGGGAAGGTATTATGTAGCTGCAGAAATTAATCTAAGCTTAACACAGAACAGGCCTCAAGGTGAGGTGAAAGGCTAATTCAAATGGTGTAAAACTACTATCTTCTACAGCCACAACTTTTACTTATATGATTTTATCTTCTCTAATTAAAAGGATGGTGGTCTGCACTGAGGATGATACCTGGGCATAACTGGCTGACACTCAGATCTTGATCAGCCAGCCCTCATTAACTAACACTGATTTTCTGCCCCAGTGTAAGTGATTTGATTCTGATGCATGACATTTAAATTCATTTTACACAGCTCCTTAGTGTGGCTTGGCAAGGCAGAGGCAAACCAGCTTGCTATGTCTAAATGAGACTCCTGAGCTGGTAAAGGATAGATCCTGTGGATTAACAGCTGAAGATAAATTTCTCCCCCGTATTGACACTTGGCTTCTGATTCAACAAGTTGACCTTGAAGGGGATCACAACCAACTTGTACAGAAATACTGCTGTGTAACTGTAACTCTGACACAACCGTTTCATTTTCTTCTTAAGTCTACACAGAGGAGTGTATTTTATAGTAATAAAAATCCAGCAGTTTTTCAACCCCATAGCTGAATCTTATAAATTGAAGAAATTCAAATAAGAAGGTTGGACATTGTTCATGCACTTTGGCATAAAACAGTGGATGTCTTTCCAGTTAGATGAAATAGTATGGTGTGAGTGCTCTCCCAGTTCACTAATTTTCGCTTTTTGAACAGAATCAGTAGACTTGCATTCTAATTGTTTTACTTTGTACTTTGTCATTTGCACATAATGACTGATGTTATTAAGGAAAAAACAAACAAACAAAAGCAGCTACAGAAAACTGGTAATTAAAACTTGTTAATAACTATGAAAGCAGCAGTAATTTGGGTATTATAGATTTCCTATGGAGGTAACAACTGAAATAACATGATGGAAGGGACGTTCATGAAACTTCGATCTCAAGTGAAGCTGGACTTGGTTGTGAGGGAGCAACAGGCTGGGAGCCAGTGTAGACACTTTCTCCCAGTGCTGTAATTTATGACATGGTAAAAGAAATCACAGTGTGAAGGACTCTGCTGAGAAAACATTAGCTGCATTTCAGACAAATGTTTTGCACTGGATACTTGTCGCGCCTAAAAATTGTTCTAGTGACTAACTGAAATTTTTCAAACACATGCACACTCAATTACAGTGTAATAATACTTTCTCAAAAGACCCATTATGAAACCCTGTCATCACTCCTGCAGTACACCACCTCTCAGAAAGGGATCATACTCTGAGGGTTGTAGCTCACTACCCAGGCAGCAACGACAATACCACCACCAAGTCAAGAAAACAGGGTTGCACAGCACCACTGTGAGACAAGAACACCAACAATAAGGGCAGAAAGATAATGCCTTGGTCAGAGGGAGGAGAAATCTCATTCCTTTTCAGTGATGAGGTTCTTAATTTCCCTCTCAGACACAAGGAAATGGAGTCATACCAAAAGCCATACAGGTGTGTGAGTGAGGGACATACAGATTTTCATTGTATTGCCACAGTGGTGCTAGCAAGAAGAAAACAAACACTTAAAAACCCCTTTACAATACAAGTATTTGTGTACCTTTCACATGATTTTTATATTCCTTTAGCAGTCAGATGGCACATTCATAAACATTAAAAAAATTGCCAACGTCCCACAGCAAGTTTAGTTTACATTGCTACCTACCCATACTGGTCAGGCTGGTGCATATCAGGAGAGCGTGAGTGTTGCCATAGTTGGGGTGCTGTGAAGAAAACATGGGGCATCTGCCAGCCCTACACTGGCTGGGATAAGCAGGTGATCTAATGCATGGTGGCCTAAAGCAGAACGAAAGAACAGCCTCTTCGGATATGCTCTGTATCACAAATACGAATCCCTGTCAAGTACATTCCTTGCATAGGCAAGTACATTGATGTGCAAGTACAGAGGACTTGTAGGAACAGCCAAAAGCCATTACGTTTTCTCCCCAACAGCTGACTTGAGATTAAACAGAAAAACAGTGTGCTTGCAACCCCCTGGCATCAGAGGGGTGTGACAGGTTTTGCTCAATTTGCAGTTTATAAAGAGCTCTTCTTTGCCAGTATTTGCAATAGAGATTTGATGACTGCTCAGCCCTGGCACAGGTGCTGGATCACTGCAATGGGTAATATGTGATAGAAAGGCTCTGAAACGGGGCAGTTTTGCCCAGGTGAAGCTAGAAACTAAAAGCAGTTTTACAAAACTGACTTGGGAAGAAGGTGTGAGATAGGAGTGGTAATCATTTAACCTAGTTTTTGATCAAACACCACAAACTATGCCCAAAGCTTAAGTTGAATCACAACCAAATACTTTCCACTTAACACAAAGTCTTTTCTTGCTGTAAAGACCAACAAAAGTGAGCTTTTCCTTTCATTACATGATTATAAAGAAAGTGTTCCTGCAGCTGCAGTGATGGCACATTTATTCCTTCGTGCCTGACCTATCAGCTTCTAGCCTAAACCAGAGACAGAAGCAGACTTTTGTAAATCCTACTAGACAGGTCTGTTAAAACAACCAACACAAGCAAGAGGCTGCTGGTTCACGGATACCTGCTGGAGTACAGTCTATTTTAAGGGAGTGTGGTTCAATTTTACTGAACAAGAACATGAAGTACACTAAATTTACTGTTACTGTTTTAAAAGTTTGTTATTGCTTATCACTAGAAGGCACCTGTCTTCCAAACTCTCAAAACAAGAAAGCAACAGATACAGGGGCAAACTAGCTTCCTATTTCTTGTTTTACATTGCATCTTGGAATTAGAGCAACTCTACTGCCACAAACACTGGTCCTGAATGATAAATACCTGTATGTGTATATGTGCATCTGTGTACATATATGTATAAATAAATGCAAGATACTTAATACACACACACACATATAAAGATGCTCACCAGAACAGTGCAACCAGCTTTGTGTAATTCTCAAATGTAATGGAACTTCTTGTAACAGAAAGATATAATAAATATACCAGGAGTTGTTTAAGTCAAGGGAAATGTGTAAATGACTTCATCTGCAAAATTTCCAGAAAATATTGTTTCATGGCAAGTATTCAGGTATCCCAAAAATCACCACAGACAGAAAAGTGCCTTTGCCAAAATCCATGCACAAACAGCAACATGCAGTTATGCTGCCTGAAGGGGAGACAAGAATACAGATGATAGCTCCAACCTCTACAGTCCTGCTTGCAAGTGCAGTTATCAACTCCAGAGAACCACAGATTACTTCTATGCCTCCTTCTGCCTTTCCCATTCAGTCACTCCCTTCAGCCCTCCTCTCTCCCTCTGCATGCCTGCCTAGGAACAAGAACATCCTGAAGAAGAGAACTGCCATCATCACTGCTGCTCATAACCTGGACAGTAAATGCAAGAGTTGATGGGCAGCTTCATAAGCTTCCTTACTCTCTGGCAGGGGCAAGCTGCCAAGGACATGTTGGCCCTCTCTCTACTAGAGATAAAAAATATCTATCTAGCTAATCAGCTTTAAGTTGCAGAGGGCTTGTTTTCCACTCCTAATGTCACTACACCCCTATGGGTTTTCCAAAAGCCCAGAACCAAACTGTAAGCGGCTGTTATCTCCATTGTCACAGCTGCTTTTTGAGAGGATAACTCAAACACAAGATAGTATGCTTTCCCCTTACGTTTAAGGAAGACAAGAAAAACATTCCTACTCATTTAAACTCCTTTCACCTGGACGCATACCTGCTCTGAGCGGAGTTTGCAGCAGCCTGCATCACTGCAGCGGCCGCCTCCTGTGCCTTACGGTTCACGGTCGGCATGGGTGGGCCCATCCCAGGGCCTCCCTGCTGAGACATGCCAGGAGAATTGGGGGTCATACTGCTCATGTTCCCAGGAAATGGTCGGCTCTGCATCCCAGCTGACGGCATCCGTCCCAGGGGCATGGTACCGCAAGGCTGGCTTGGCCCCTGTCCGTGCATCTGACTGTTGGCATTTATACCCATGCCAGGTCCTGGGCCACTGTAACTTGTGTTGGGCACGCCGCTGTACGTTGGTGGTCTGGAGTAGTTTCCTGAACAAAATGATAAAAAGCGCAGAGAGAAACATTAAACTTTTGAGCAAGTATTTCAGTTTAGGAAGTTAGCAGCTGCAGAACTTACACATGTGAACTAAAGTGAACCACGCCGGCCTCAAAGTCAGAACAACTTTTTTCACCATGAGGATAGACAAGCACTGGAACAAGCTGCCCAAGGAGGTTCTGCAGACTCCCTCCTTGGAGATTTTCAAGACCCAGTTGGATAAAGCCATGAGTAACCTGCTCTGATTTTGTACCTGATCCCGACTTGTATACAAGGTCAGCCAAGAACAACTCCTGAGCACCCTTCCAACCAGAATGATCCTATGAACCTGATTTTCATGTACCCCCAAACATTTCCTGCCTAGCATATGTCATGGGATAACAACAAATACAGAAAAGCACAGCCTCCAGAGGGTTAACAACATAGCACACAGTACAAAACCACGTTATGCAGTAAAGAGCATGTAAGAAACCCATCGCATAAGCTCAAAGGAGAATCTCATTTTTGTAATGTCACGTTCTCATTCTTCATCTTTCTGCAATTTCAGCAACAGACTGTTCTCACTGGCTTCTTGCTCCTAACCATTCTGACCATTTGTGTCAGAGATGCTTTGGCACAGACTGGTGAGGACAGCTGCTGGGCCCTGAGAAACATTCCCGCTTCCTCCTGCCCTACCCTGCCATCCTGGTAAGTTCAAAGTTTGGCTATGCCAGCAGAAGGGGTGGTAGCTTACAGCACACCTCCTCTGGGAAAATTAGCATTACAAGACTAATCAGCAACAGTACAAAGATGCTAACATAACAGGTGCGTTATGAAAAATGGCATGAAAACCTGGCTGACCCCAATCTACGTTGTCACTGGAACAAACTGCTCCACTTGCAGCAGCTTAACTCATTTGAGTGCCGATTTCCCAATCATGTTGAAAGCTCCAGAAAAAGCGAGTGTACAGCGTTCAGTGTTACAGAAACAAACACAAGCAGCATGAGAAAGAGAAAAAAAAAAAGGTAGAGATATGATAGAAAAGTATTTTGGGAAACGGATCACATTACACTGCTTCAGTCATCAGTTTTGACTTGTCTTTATTTCCATCTCACCCAGATTAGTGGAAACACGACCCGTTCCCTCCCTGTGGGATGCCGCAGAGCAGAGTTTCCTGACTACTCTCAGATATTCCCACGCTTGTTCAAAGGCAGCAGCCCTTAGACTCTTCCTCTGAACGTGGAGATCAGCCACGTCTCTCCTCAGGCCTCAGCTACCAGGCAGAGGAGTCGGTGGCATGCAACTCTTGTTTATATTTAAAATAAATAAATATATTCATTCATTATTTGAATGCACACGTAATTAATTCATATGCTCCTGGTGCTGTGCTTTGGCTAATCCTCCCCTCCTCCCCAGCCGGTAACTGACTCACTCTGCTACAAGTTCTCCTCAGCAAGAACAGATGAGACCTATGCTTCCCAGGGAGATGGAGCAACAATTCTCTTCCGTTTCAGAAACCAAGTTTCCGTCTGGGGGTCTTCACAGAAGGATCCCCAAAATGTGGTTCAACAGAGATTAAAGACTCCAGATTCAGTTTTATGCTGACTTCAGACTGCCCTGTCACTTCTCCTCCTCCTCTAGGCTCGGCCGATGGCAGCTGACTATTTTCTGTGCAGCAAGCCATTGCCCCTAGCCAGAGTTCTGGCTGCTGAGACCTGCTCAAGCCACACCTCTGATCCAACATATGTGACCACAGACTGAAGGGTTCACTAGTTTCATACTGCTCTGCTTAGTGTCAGAGGCGTAACACACAATTTGGATATTGCTCTGGTTTTCCAGTTGCTTTGTGCAAAAAAAAAAAGTAATGCAGCAAGATGGTGTATATGTGCACTCAAAGATTACACACAGCCAGTTAACACATTTTATGGACATGTTATTTGTAACCCTGCTTCCCAAAGTGAAGCAAATTCCCTCCCTAGACCAGGAGACCCGATATCTATAATCACTGGGAGCTACTGTCAGTCCAATTTACACAAACCCAATTTGCTTTGTCAGTTAGTGTCTATGAAGAACATTTCAGCAGCATGCTTGGAGGAGCAAACACCAATACTAAATAGTACTGCTGTTTGGATGCTATTTTGAATTGGGACAAAAAAATCTCTTCTTTCGTGCTTTGGCTTCTCCAGTGTAAGCACAACACAGAACACACAGTGGAATCTGCTCCATAAAAATATGTGGCTCAGTTAAAATAGCTCCTAATTATTCATCTCCAGGGATACACGTTCAAGAGCACAGGAAAGTGGTATCTTTTCAGTAAGGAAAACAAGTTTCAATGTTCTTTCCATGTTTCCCCCTCACTTCCCCCCCCAAGCATTTCCTCTATACCTCGAGTACTAGCTATTCTTATACCTTTCCCAGACCACAAAAAAAGGGCAAAATAAAAGCCAAACAAAATACAAGAGGAATTGCCAGGAATGAGGAGTGCAATCTTATTTCCATGTTTCTCTAATAGATTAGTAATTTGTTGGCAGTGGCTTTGACAGAAAACAGATGGATGCAGCATTAAACACAATGAATGCAGCAGATGCTAGGCCAGCCCACATCAGCTGGACGTGTCAGGCAGCCAAGTCCAAGAGCCCACACTTTTCAAGTGGGTACAAGCCTGGCAACAGCGGCTGTACAGTACTACTGAACAACTCCTCCCCTCCATATCCAAGGGATTTTTGATTCCAACTCCCCCTCGGCAGAGCAGAATTGTACCCAGAGAGATGACATCTCAATTGTACGAGAAAAAGCAAAGCAGTAAATGGAACCAGGAAGAAGAAGAAAATAAAAGTGTAATGAAGATAAAATATAAAAAAGCCTACTAACAACCTGCCAAAGACAGATGCTCGTACTCACTTCTGAAACTCTGCTCCACTTTGTCCAGGTTTGCTGAACAAAGTGCTCTGATATCTTGCCATTTCTAGGCAAGATGAAAAGAGGGAAATTTGATAACTATCTGTTAGCTTTGTTCTCTGCTTTAGAGACGTAGGTCAGATTCACCATATCAAAAATAGTATCTTAAAATAATTTTAGTATTTTTTACATGTGCACTTAATCATCAAGTTTTTATTGCACAGGTGATTTAAATATATTGTTCTGAATTCCTCTGAAACTATTTTACTTGGGGGACTTCAGTAGATACATTTGATATTTAAATCTTAACTCCACAGGCTGTTGTACATGTGGGTCTGGATTCAGACGTCCAGACTCTCGAGATACTTAGGGCATCTCATCCTTAAGATGCTACCACTTTAATTAAAATCTAGGATTAAAATCAGTGGGAGCTAGATAGCAAAGTGCTTCTGTGAAATGAGTCCAACATTAAAGGTTACAATGCACAAATACTCAATTCATATTACTTTATCATGAACAAAAAGGGGGTTTAACTTACTGTGAAGTTCTGGGGTTGTGGTTCAAACATATTCAGTAGTGGTTTCTCTCTTTGTTATACCCAAACAGAACAGATTTACTGCTGAATAGAGTAGGAAAAGTTAGGGAGACAGGATGCATTTCTGACACATTTTACTGATCCACAGGAAGATTTTCTCTGCCCCAGTCTTAAAAGACCCAACTGACAACAGCATCCGACTGCTCTCCAGAGTGCATTTAAGGGACATTTTGCTGTGGCAGCAGTTTGATGCTCGGGTCATAGACCAGAGCTCCATTAGCCCCCGAGCAAGATGTTGTCCAAATACAAACCAAAGAGACTGTTTCTTGCAGTAACAACTTCCATTCTCGCTTTGGGTTTTTTTTGTTCTTGGGGACAGGAAAATGCTGGGATTTAACACAAAATTAAAACTGATGTTCTGTACTGCATGCTCCTGTGTTCTATCACAAACACACAGAAGTGTGGAGCCAAAGCCATTTTTTATTTTCGTAAGAAATGGTTTCACAGGATTGGACTAGGTCCCTAGTACACAACTGCTTCCTGGGAAAATCTATTCTAATCTTATTATAGATCTAAGTGTCATGTAAACACATGAAAACCAAATAAATCAACCATAGGCATGAAATGGATCATTCTGCTCTGAACTGCGGGCTAATTCCTCCAACCCAAACTTACTGGTGTAGTCTTTACTATGGTGAGCAATTGCACTGCAGAGAAAGGACACTAGCCTTGAGCAATGGTTTTCAGGACAGCACATAGTGAAATCCAGCATTCAAACTAAAAGTTTCATCTCACAGAGTGCTTTGACACATACATAAAAATATAAGTAGTCCTGTCAAACTCAGCTTATGCTTAACAATATTTTGGAGGAAGGCCTATGTGAACAAAAAACGGAAAGCAAATAAAATCCTTGAGAATTACTTTAGTTTAATAATTTAAGAACTCAGTTGCAACCCAGGTAATTTTTAATATATTTGTTATTTTGACAATAAAAGGCAAGTGGGGTAACTATTATACATTCATCATTGCTGGCATATAATTGTGCTTTGTAAGAGGGTACATTAAGAGTTGCAATCACAGATTACTTTATTAAAAATGAAGAATGCTATTAAAAACTCAAATCCAGGTAAATACAAGACTTTGAAATATCACAATCTTCATCTCTGGATTTTATTAATGGTCACATTAGCCTGGTGAAAACGTAGTATTCTTCTACTCTAATTGTTACCTGTAGAGCTGAAAGCCTGCAGAGCCCTAATTTTATGATGACCAGTGCACAGGATCACTGGTACTCTCCAAGACCTGCCAGGAGGACACGCTTTTCATCCATCACACTATTCACCAGACCCTTTGAAACGGCCTGTTAATGACAGTGATGCTCATTTTCTTCCTGCCCCTCAAGTTGACTTTTTAATAGCCGTTTCTTCCTGACCGCGACCCATAAAATCATTACATAGGCACTTTCATCTACAGAGGAGGAAAAGAACTGCTGAACTCAAGCAAAAAAGAAAGTAGTATTCGGCGTGTTACTTAAATGCATTGATTTAGTACAAAAACCCTTCCATTCAATCAGTGTGGATGGCTAATGTTTTACTGCACTTGACACCCACTATTCCCATGGTTCGGAATCTCAGCAGCAGCAGTACAGCTGGAAGTCAGGATAGCGCATCATAAATCCACTGGATTTTTACCAGTTAAGCTAGTTGCTCACTGTGCAGATAAAAATAAGCACTTGGACAGCATTTTATGGCCACAAAATGCTTTCCAAATAAAAAGGAAAGCACCAGTCAACTGGAGTTAGGTAATTAATCTTCACACATGGCTATAAGGCATTACTAGCCCCATTTTACAGTTAAGGAAAGCGAAGCAGAGAAATGAATCTACTTGCCTAAGTTGAAAGATGGTGTAAAAGGCAGAGCCAAAATTAGAAACTGGGAAATCTTGGCCTGTAGCCCTGCGCTCAGCACACTACAACAAACGCCACCCAGAGATGAAACAGAAAGGAACATAGCGCAGGGCAGCAAGGCTCCCTGCAAACAAACATCAGAACTAGTTCTCAGAAACTCTGGAGACTAAAATAACCCTCCTTGCTAGCATGGGCAAACCATTGAGCCCTTACAGAATTTCCCAGTGCTGGCTCCAGTCCTTTTTGAGGACTTTAAGCAAGAAAGCAATAGTAGGAAGTGCTGAAATAGAAAAACTTCTTTATGTACCTCTAAAGAAAATCCTGCCCCTTATATATTCTGTGGCTTGACTTCAACTTCATTAAACCCCTAAACAGATGCATACTTTATAAAGGTTATCCATTAAAGGCAAAACAATACACAAGTTCAAGGTTGTCCAGGTACAGAAACTGTGTATTCTGTTTTTGGTTTAGTCCTCCGACAATTCTGTCTAACAAGCAAAATAAAAGGAACTGCCTCTCTCAGGCTGAAGAGTTAGTTAAGATTCACAGATCGTATGCATTAGAGCTCAATATTATATTCCCACAGTAGCCACTGTATTATTACGCTCATTAGAAGACTTTAACCCTCACAGTCATGATGCTATTTCAGATTGGCCTTGGGATTTCATCTAAGACACGGAGTCCTATTTTGGGATCGGTGTTGTGACCCTTATTCCATGCTTGGTCAAACGTTGCCTCGTCACAGAGATGACACGCTTGGGCTCCTAAACAATGGCCCTGGCAATGCAACAGATTCATCATTTCCTTGCCCAATTTAAGGTCACTATTTTTGTACAGAGAAAGGTACTTATAACAGAAACAGCTTCTTCCACAAGGTGCAGCTCCACCTCTGGACAACAGCTTTGTTTGTTTAGGTTGTTTTTTTTTAAGAAAGGGTGGTATGTATGTGTTTTTTTGGTTTTTTTGTTTTGTTTTTAAGAAATCACCTACCTACCTACACACACAATACATACATACTTTACAAATACATATATAAAAATTATTATTATTGTATGTATCAGCAGCAAGCATTTATTTTACCTTGTGGTCCATACTGGCTCATCTGAGGCCCATAAGTACCACTTGAATTACTCTGCTGAAAGCTACCAATTCCAGGATGCACTTGGCCTCCAGGTGAGGGGTGTGGTGACATGGAAGGTCCAGTTTGCTGAGGCCCATACTGTGACATTTGGGGGTTCCTCTGTATGCCTGCCATAAAACCTGAAGGGAAAAAAGCATCAAAGTAAAAATTAATATTCAAGTAACTGTTCTTTATTTAAGAAATCTTAAAAATTAAAAAACCCACCGAACTAACAGAAACAAATGAACGTCCAAATCAGCAAAGCTGTCTCAACAACCAAAACCTGTATACAAGGCTCAAAATCTTCTACTTGTAAATGAAAGACAGGGCAGTCCTGCTTAGTTACAAATGGCAGCTGGTTTTAAAATTAAAACAATTTTTAGGAAAAAAAAAATTAAAGGCAATTATCTGCATTACCTAATTAGTAGCAGGGAGTTTGACTAGTCATACAAAAAAAAAAGTTTTTTTGGTTATATGTTTGTGCTCTAGGTCATTCTTCTGGCCTGTCCCCAGCACACCTGTATTGCATTCTCTCCTTTTTTCCTTCTGTAAATGTATTAATGAATCCAAATTTAATTTAGCGTTCAAAAGCTGAAGCAAGACAGCTAGAGAAATTCTATAAAATCTAGAAGCTTCCTGTAAAGGAACAGAAGTAAGTTTATTAAAAGGGAGAAGAAGAGGATTTTGTGGTGGGGTTTTTCAAGTTTTCATGAACTGAGAAAAATCCTGCAATCCTGCCCATGAAATGTCTATGCAGGGATGCTGGTTTTCTAACATTTTACCCTGAAAGGTTTTAGCACTGCTTTCAATGTTAAAGAGGATGCACTGAGGAGACAGCGAGGTTTTTTTTCTTATTTCTGGAGGAAATCCGCTTTCTTTTCTGTTCTGCTCGCACATTAAATTTCATCTTCACGTCTCAAGTGTACTGAAGGACATGGCGTGTGGCTGCCCAGCAGCTGAACGTGTGTGAGCAAGGCTGCATTTCAGGCCATCCTGCAACGAGTTCAGGCACCTGCACTTTGAGGCTGCAGAGAGCTCAAATGTTATTTATGAAAGGTGCCTGTTTCCGCTTCCCTCCGTTAATTTTGGTGGCGTGCGTGTGGGGAGGTGTGCAGTTGAGAGCCTGGCAGCATTAATTACACCTTTCCTTACATGAGGGAGGGAATAGAGGGAAGGTATGAGCAAAACCCCCTGACAGTGAATGGAGAACTGGAAGCTGCTGAAGGGATGATTAGAAAAAGAAAAAAAAAAAAAAGAAAAAAGAAAAGAGAAAGGGGGAGAGAGAGGCAAAGACAAGTTGTGAGGAGAGACAGAAATGGGTGACAGGAGGGAGAGGTGGCAGAAAGATGACTCTCCTAAAGGGCAGGGTGTTCTCCCACTAGCTAGCACCACAGAATCACAGAATCACAGAATGTTGGGGATTGGAAGGGACCTCCAAAGATCATCCAGTCCAATCCCCCTGCCGGAGCAGGAACCTAAACAATTTTACACAGGAAGGCGTCCAGGTGGGTCTTGAATGTCTCCAGAGAAGGAGACTCCACAACCTCCCTGGGCAGCCTGTTCCAGTGCTCTGTTACCCTCACTGTAAAGAAGTTTCTTCTCAAGTTTAAATGGAACCTCCTGTGTTCCAGCTCACACCCATTGCTCCTTGTCCTGTCATTGGGCATCACTGAGAAGAGCCTGGCTCCATCCTCATGACATTCGCCCTTAACATATTTATAAACATTAATGAGGTCTCCCCTCAGTCTCCTCCAAGCTAAAGAGCCCCAGCTCCCTCAGCCTTTCCTCATAAGGGAGATGCTCCACTCCCTTAATCATCTTGGTGGCTCTGCGCTGGACTCTCTCAAGCAGTTCCCTGTCCTTCCTGAACTGTGGGGCCCAGAACTGGACACAATATTCCAGATGCGGCCTCTCCAGGGCAGAGTAGAGGGGGAGGGGAACCTCTCTCGACCTACTAACCACACCAAACATCACACAGACCAAACGCTCAATGCCTGATTAATGAAGAGAGGCAATTTTTTCTGAGCTACGCATAGACACATGATCAAACTCACAACCGAAAACCCTGAGGTGCTATGGCTCCCACGACCAGGAGGCTCAGGGGTCTCGCTGTGGGGGCCACAGCCCCAGCAAGCACGTCTGGAACTCTGAAGGGTAAGTTTCTCACCCTAGCGCTGCTGTTACTGACACGGTAGGTGACACTGGGCGAATGACCTTCCTGCCTTTCTGCCTGCTGGCCTCCCTGTTTGTACACTGGTGACAAAGCGCTGTACAAAAGGGGACAGCACCCACGATGTAGAAATGAAAGGCAGCGTGTGCTTTCCCTGACACCAGGCTTTGAGCCCAAACACATGTAAACAGTCTCTGGGCCCTCCACAAACCTTTGCTAAGTAGTATACTTACCCATCCACTAAAACTGCGTCAGAGATACAAGCTCTTAATGTCTTAGGTTGTAAAGAGAAAAACCAGGAGCTGAGATGATCTTGCACCCCCTTGTGCCCAGTTCTTTCCTGCCATTAACAGTTCAACCTGTAACATGCTAAAATTCTAACAAACTGCAAGGTTTGGCAGAATATGCACAGATATTTCATATCTGTGCATAAATTTCATATCTGTGCATAAATTTTCTGGTATTTGTGCAAGACAAGATTTGTGCCAAGACAAGGGAGTCGATCACACCTGACCTGTGAAGGCAGAGCCTGGCAGCCACTCTGGAGGAAGCTGGACCACACACACTGGCATGTGGGACAGCAAATAAATGAGGGTGAAATGGCGTGGAAACTGGTCTGTACTGATTGGAAAACTCCACATTTCTGCAAAGGAAAGCTCGTATGACCTTCTCCACTTAGCTTTATTGAAACAGACCCCTCTTATTTTTAAAATAGTTCCACTCTGCACACAAATCTTATTACAAAGCCTGCGTCTTCTGCCGACACTGCTGTAACTAATTTAGAAACCTAATACAATCCTATGTCTGTATGAAATAAATGCTTGCATTCCCGACACACATACACCATATATATCACACTCGTGGGATCCATTTAAATGAAAAATTCTGTACTGGTCACACTAAGATTTTGATTATAAAGATAGTAAAGTTACTCCTGTATCTAGTACAGAAGTGAGGGTTTTCTGTTCACTGTGGGCCTTTTAATCTATACAAGATAACTTTTCAAACATTGTGCTAGTGATAAAGGTTTTTCAGCCCAGTTATTATTGCAGGCAGTACTTTACTTAACAGCACAAGGATGGATGACACATTAAAAAGCTATCGTTTGTATGGGTTGTAGTGATTTCCAGTAGCGATGCAGAGGGACTGCTAGTTGTTGAATCTAATGGAAAACATGGACTAATATATAATGGAGAACATGGAGAACATGGAGAACATCAGTTTTAGCCAGCTCCGCTGTTGTCAAAAGGGCTTCTGAAGAGACTAGAGTAATAAGTGAAATAAATGTTTCCACTCAAATGACCTCTTCTTCAGGAAACTTCTCCTAATCTCTTTCTGATGCTGTGGAGTGGACTGTGTGGCTATGTGTACAGCCATAAATAAAACACGTCAGCCTGGAGAGCGGTGTGGCATGCTTGTGTCCATCCAGCTAAACATTCCCACGCAATCCCGGCCGTCTTCTCTGTGTGACTCCTGTGCAGTCCCTTGTGCTGCCTTATTCATGCCCTGGGCTGTGGATCAGGGAGTGCTCACAAGCATCTGTCAAAACCATACCATGGGACATGCCAGTAAGTCAACAACAAAGATAACTGTGCAATACTACTCAAACTCATGCTGTGGCCTTAAGTTTACAGAGATGGTAATTAACCCAACAAGAACAGACCAGACTCCTTAAGAGCTTTTGACATGAGGCATGAGTTTCATCATCCTGGCATGGGTGAGATGCCTCTCAAATTGAGGTTGGCTTTGCTGTCTTCTCTTGAGCATGGACAGGTAAAGAATTAAGGAAAAGGAAGCCTGAAATCCAGTAAAGAATATCTGTTATTATCTTCTATCACTGTCTGTACAGTATATCAAACTATGGCCTTAAAATAGCACATGCTCCAACTTCCTTCCAGAGAGCAGAGGAGTTATTCATGTGATGCGGAGAAGGTAAGATCAGGTCCTTACTGTGATCTGGATTCCATTACAACAAAGAGGAGTCTATCCTCATTGACCTCTGTGAGCCCAGTGAATGTTCAGAGTTCAGTCCATGAGTGTGAAGTGTTTCACATATTTGTAGAAAACTCAGATGTCTCAGAGAGAAAAGAGGTTCCTGGTTAAGACGTTAACATTCTTGCATCATAAAGAGAAAACAGCATCAATTCTAGAAATCTTATCAGAAATGAAAGGGAGCAGCTGGCATACATTCATTTTTCCTTATTTACACACATTTTCCCTAGTGTTCAACTTCATTTTATAACCGATACAAAAAGAAATAAATTTTCTTTCCAGAAAATTAGATCTAAGATAAAGTTTGCTTTTGTAAAGAAGGGAAGTAGGATTATATTAGAGCTGCACTGGAGTAAAGGTGGTGGAGTGATTAAACAGCCAGACTGTATCTGACAAGTCAACTTCTGCGACAACAAGCAGAAGTTTATTTTTTGTCTTTTAAATAAACTGTTAGGAAACAGCTATGAGTTAAGATTTTAAAACTTGCAATGGCAACATGCTCATCAGTGAACAACTCTAATCCCTTCCCTTAATATTAGTGATAAAAGAGGTACAGATGATGCTTTCTTTACTTGCCGTCGCAACAAGAGATTACTTACTGAAAAAAACACTTGAGTGGATTTTGGCAAACTAAGCTATTTCAGGAGCAGCTGAACAAAGTAAGCCTGGCAGAAGTATTCTCTTCCTTTTTAGTTATTTTAAATACTACATTTCTGTACGTAAAGAATTACTGTCTTTATTAAAACCCAATTTAGACTTGTAGAATCATCTTTGCATTTTTTTAGTTCTAAATGAAACAGTAGCATACTATTAGCAACTAGCACACCATAACTATAATATAATATGTTTTCAGGTTCAAACAGAATATATACACAAGGTTTAAAAATGGTCAGGTAGCAGCATATTTTTCTTCTTTCTTTTTAGCAAAATAGAGAGAAAAAAAATATAAAACGTGTAATGCTTATGACAGAAATGTTT